AAGAAGAAAACTGCATCTATTCTTGTATGACGCAAGAACAGAACGCTGTTCTACTTCTTCTAAGAAACAAAAATTGCGCAAATTGTAATTGCGATCTTAAATGTGTTAAAATATATACAGTATATATATTTTTTGTTTTATACGTAAATAGATTTATCGTGCGAGATAGTTGTCCTGAGGGCGCATTCGAGCGGAATCTTTCTGAAATTATAAAATCTCTATTATATGTATATATTATATAATATATATACATAAATATAATATAATACATATACGTAAAATATATATTATATATATATATTATAATATATGTTATATATGAAAGAGAATTTGTACATTTCGCGAAGATTGAAATTTCAGTGATGGCGATACGATCGATGGAGAATTACGTTCGATTACGTGCCAGAAAAAGACTGTTCCTTGTCCGTTATTATTTGGATATTATATGTTATCCTTTACTTATTCTTTGAAATCGATGACGTAGATATTTCATTTTCAAATGTACATACACACGAAACTGCGTTGTTATCTAGTCAGAATCTGGTATCTATCAGTTTAAATATTCACGTTTCCGATCGTCACTCTTTTTTAAGTTTATGACTGAGAAATTTAATAGAGAAATATATTATATATGTAAGTGTATATATGTATACATATATATATGTGTAATATACACACATATAATATGTATAAAATAATAATTGTATATACTATCTTCGGAATAAAACAATGATGAAAAGAAATTGTCTTAATATTTTCCCAGACAAAAAATTATAACAAATTACGTAAAAGCGTACTAAAGTATCAATTAGTACTCATCTAATATTTGTAAGTTTAGTATCTAAAACCTTATTTTTATTAAAGTGTTATTAAAGTTTATAACAATAATAATCATACAAAGCGCATGTAGATGATATTTCTCTCTCTCGCGTTGAATAAAAATATTTCTATATATAAATCGTAAGTAATACTGAACATTCCAGTATGTCATTACCTTTTAAAGAAAACGTTTTTACTATAAATGTTTATGGATAAATAATGTTTTTGCGCATTTTGTTAATATATCGATATTTTACCTATTTTGTTGCTCTCGAAATAATAAAAATAATTACGATTCTTTTTCGCTCTCGAGATGAACGATAATGATAATTAAAATTGGCGATCGCACGTCGATCGTCGATCCTGATCTATCAACGCGCTTAGATTTAAGTTGTCTTCGGCGGTTCCAGCTCGAGGCTGATAAAGAAGTTCTCGCGGTCTTCCCTATAACGTGCCTTTAAAAGATATTCGCACGCGAACGAGTTTAATGGAAAATTGTAACCCAACGCGAATCTCTGGCAGTTTGTCAGCCAGGCTGCGATGTTGATGACGCGTCTTCTCCTTAAGTCCGTGTTCTTTAATTTCTCCTCATTCTCTGAGCGTATTTTTATCTCCAACGTAATCACGCGCCAACGATTAAAAAATTTGCGTGCAAGATATCGCTGCCTGCACGTCCACGCGTTGCCCTTAGTTTCGTCAGTGACGTTTTGGCGTGCCGTGAATTTTATCCTGGTTAGCGTCGCTGCAAGTATACGCCTAGCTAGAGATTGCTTGGATTCTATTAGATTCTTGTCATCTCTTGAGTGATGCTCGTTGAAGTTATTATTAATAGACAAAGACTCTGAAACCTCACAAATTCGCGCGGTTAACTGTTTCTTTGTGAAAAACGGTACAAAATTCGCTTGAATTTCTTTCAGGCTATTTAATCCTAGAACCTTGATCAGAAAATGACCAACATATGGCATGCAAGGTGGATTACGTTTCGCTACAGTCCAGGCTTTTCGATACTTTAAACATCGTGGACTTTTATAAATCTTGGACAGTTTCTCCATTGTCGTGTATCTAAAAAATATGTATGATTATATACCGGTACAGAGTGAAACACTTTGTTTTTGCAAAAAAAAAACAGTTTTTTTGTGAATTAACAAACGAAAGATCAGGAAATACACCTCATATTTTATTCGCGTGCAGTAAAAAAATATTTTATACTTGTATTAAAATTAATTCTTGTTGAAATTTTTAACACATTTAAATATTTATTTAATAATGTGACTTATTTGAATATCTTCTATTAAAATGATATTTAACATTTTTATTTTAAAATATCAATTAAGTAAGTGAACAAAAATAATTTATTCCAAAACATAAATTCTAACATAAATGAATAAAATGTGTTAATTTAATATATAATAAATGTGAATTTTACTGATGAAATATGCTTCCACAAATTGTATCATTGTTACATTTTTTTAAATTTTTTATATAATGTTCATGTTACTTCATAATTTACAAAAATTTAAACGGGGATCGTTTAGGAACGTAAAATGTGTTAAATTTTACAGAATTTTGTTGACTGTGTATGTTAAAGTTAGATGTATGAAAAGATATATTCGAAAAATTCATGGCAAATGTTTCTAACAATTAGGGAATTATTTTCCCTTTGATATTTAATTAGGAAATTATAATGATTAACAAGAGGAAACCTGCTAGCGTGATGAGTCCTAAGGTACGACCAGCTTCTCCGGAGTCTATAAATCGGCGGAGCCTGCAGACCAGCCAGGATGGACCTGCAGGACTGAAAATTGCCGAGCGCAAGACACTTGTCGGCGGCATTGATAAATCTCGCCATGATCCTGGTCCTCATGTCGAGTTGTTTGATCGCGAGGATCTCGCTAACGGTCAGGCAAGCGATGCGGTGGCTGAAGGCGATCCACGCACCCAAATTTGGCGCGTTGCGCGACGATCTCTGGTAGATCAGCGCCTCGATCTCGGTCGTGGGAATACGGATGAAGAGATCGCGATCGACCGACGTGAGTTGCGCAGCGAGGGTAGTACTGTCCAGGTCCCACACAGTGATACGAAAGTTCATCCTTAGCAATCTCTGCAGTTGTATCGAGCCTCCGTCGACGTTTTCGTTCGTCTTTCCATTACGTTTGCGTGCGCCGTTGATGGAAAGCACGCGATTTAAAAGACTACTGGATTTTCCTGTAATCGCAACTTCAATATTGTCGATCCGATTTTTTCGTCGGTGAAAGAACTTTCCTTTCGATTGCCTCTCCTTCCCGCGTCGAAAGTTCTGAAGAGACGCTAAGTGATGTCTCAGCTCTCTGTTATAAGAGACTTTGTGTAAGAGATAACTAATTATTAATTAGGCTGATGTCTAATAGTATCTAATCCTCTTACGACAAACGACCTCTTCTCAAATTATTTAATGAAAAATATAATTGAACATTAGACTGGACAATTAAATTTAATTAAAATTAAATTTTTATTCTAAAATTTTTGTTGAAGTTGACAATTAAAATTGATCTTTCATTGAAATATAAATTGCATATAAGATCATTATTAAGATGACTGTATCCAATATGGCCTACGTAAGCGTTACAATTTTTGCTAATTGTGTTTTAAAATTGTATTCAACATTGAAAACTGATGATCCAATTTAAAATAGAAAACATTTTTTTTAGTATCAACTGAAAATATAAGACATTTTTTAAATAAATGCAATAAATATCCATGTAATTATCTATAAACAGCAAGTAGATTATATTAAACTTTATACGATTTTTAGAACAATGATAAATATCCTATTACCTATAGGCAGCTGTTGCTGCCTGAGGCCTGTACCAATATTCTGGCGTCCAGAAGAGTATTACTTGTCCTCTAGTAATGGCACCAATAATACTGGATCCGCCGGGTGTCAAGGCACCGCAAGAGACGCTAGCTGTTAACTGGCGGCGCGAAACCGGAAGTCTCAGTTCCGGATCCGAGGGTTGTTTGCGGATATTGACTGCGCTCGGTGATCTGAGAGTCTGTACAGATTCTCGATCGCCAGGCTGTACCGACCACGGGCCGAGCGCGTGGAAAAAATGCGCCGTTGAAGATAAGCCGTATCTTCGCAGATGTCTCTGACTCTTCAAGGATCGGCAATTGTCTTCCCAAACTGTCACGCCATTCTCGATCAACTTACGAGCATCAACGACGTTCTCGTAGCCCGAATCACCGCGATAAGGACCCAGAATCAATTCAGAATTGCATTTCTCCGGTACTCCGAAGCCAAAACGCGATATTTTTGCAAAAGACTTTTTCGGCTCATTTTGATATTGCTGTTGACGTTTACCGTACTTCTTTTCCACATGCTCTACGAAATCGTCTTCGAAAAGCATGTTTCGACATTCTAAATATTTTTAATTGTTTAATAATGTTATGTATTTCGATTGGAATATTTGCAAAAAATATATTTACCTAGTCAAATTTACTTAGTCAATAAATTATATATTATTGCTCCTATAATTTTTTAAATCCATAACAGAAATACATATTTACAAATAAATTTTCGAAGTTTGTATGGTATTGAATATTATTAAATATAAAACGTTTTTTTTAAATGTTCAATTATATAAAAAATTCGAAGTTAGCATAAGTATAGTATGATAATTAGCCTAAATGCATAGAATAAAACTGAAAAAAAATAAATAAATGAAAACATAAAAAGAATTATTCCCAAAGCCACTAGGATTTAATTACTCTATAGTTATGGGTATTTCTATTATGTTTTCTAATATTGGAAAAACTTGAACCTAAATAAATAAGGAAAATTTATGCGTATGGTTTTCGCAAATCTAACCGTAACATCGGCTGTGCTTTCCATGAACATTTATGCCAACACTATTATCCAGTTGACAGACGTTGCAAGGCGAACTTTTGTAACTTGCGGCGTAATCGCAATGACATACATTGCGACTTCTTGCGAAAAGGACATTACAGAGTCCACCGGCACGTTGCAATCTTGCCCGACCATCAAACTTTGTCTGACACGGCCAACTGTGACAGGATTTCTCGCAGGCGATATAACGCGGTGTACGATCTTCCAGCTCGTATCTAAGATCTTCCAGGCTGGCTCCAGCGAATCTCACCGGAACCGGCGTGTAATTGCCGTTCATCAACTCGTTGTAACACGGTCCGAGATACAAGTTCTTCTCGGTCCATGTGGGAGTAACGTAGTCGCCGGCACCTCCATAATGACTCCATACCCTATATGCGTTTTAGGCACGATATTATCGTTAATCAGTATTCGTTCAAAAATGTTCTTGATTGATATTCATGGGTCTAGTTTTAAATTAATATTTTTTTGTTTAAAGTTAACGTAATTAAACGATTTTTTTTTCATTTTGAGGACCAAAATCTGAGAAATAAAATAATGTAACTTACAATTTCGTAAAGTTGTGAAAAACATTTGTTATAAACAATTTTTCAAAACGTATGTAGTTGAAAACAATGTGCAGACTCACGTACTGGATCCATAAATGCAATTACAAGTATTCACATGATATCAAGAGAATTGAAATGTTTTGAGCCAAAATCGAAGACTCGTCATTAAAAGTAAATAAATTTAACTATTAAATACATTCGCAAATAATGCAAGTAATGTAAAGTAAAAATTAATTTACATCGATCATCACCTGAATATCGATCTTTTGCATCTCGCATCACGATCACTCCTGATTTTTACCTCAGACGACAGCAAATATAAGGCGCTACTGCTCGACGAGCTCGCCGCCGTTGTTTCGGACAACGAGCTACCGATCGTCTTGCATGTCAGTAATCTTTGTACCTCCTCGCACCAGATTTTCCAAGAAACTCTGCGTCGCTCACCGCCGAGCTCATAATAATTAACTCGTCCGTTAATGAATCTGAGGGCAATTAATCTGAGATAAACTGAATGTAAAAATCCACTTTCTTTAAGAGAAAATTGACTAACAATTTATCTACGAATTTTTCGACTTTAGAGCCCTTATTCTATAACTTTTAATATCGGTAAAATGTTCTAAAATTTACTGTCAGTGCTAAAAATTTATAGTTTACGTTACACATGCGCTATAAATATATATTTCTGCACTAGCAATGAATTTTGAAACACAGCCGTTATTATACCATCACTGCATAACTTTTTTATCATATTTAATATCTATGCAATAACAATATAACGACATTATTGTTAAAAGTTAGAATATATAAGAACTCTGCTTAACGAAAGAGGAAAGAAAGAGAAAAAATGGAAACCATGATTGTTTTATACCCCTCGTTTTGTCTGAAGGAGTATACCTTGCCTTCAAAGTCCTGCGACGTCTCCTTCTAAACACGCTGAGCGTAACATATTCTAAGGGATACACGGACACGAGTTCGAAGCTCTCGATACTAGCGTCAATACAAGGCGGACAAAAGAAATCGGGATTAATCTGAAAGATGTCGGCAGCAACGATCAGCTTGGTCGATGTGAGACCCAAAGAGACCTGACGAACCCCTCGTCCATTTCTCGTGGTCTCCGCAAACGGCGACTCCACCAGGATTGTCTCAGATAATTCGCGGTATTCCGACAGCAGTAATTTGCGTATCCTGTTATCCCGCGACTGATCGGGCAGTTTCATTCTGTGTGACGCGTTCATGAATAGCTTCTCTCGCGCGGCGAGGAAGGGGATCGTATCGCACCGTACAAATCATCTATGAGATTCTGCACGAACGAGGGATTTTTAAAGCGCTTGTCTACCTGTCAGTACCTAACCACATTGAATTAATACTTCCTCGATTAAAACGTCAGGGGAAGATGTGTAACCGTCATTATTCCCAGACAACTTCTCACTTCTCAGAAAACGTTCTAAATCTAAAAAATAAATAATGTATAATATGCTCATACAATACTGAATTATTTTTACATTACAATTTGAATTATTCTTATTAAAATATATTTAGCATTTATTTTTTTAGGGGGGTTATATGTTATTTTAATTCTTTGAAATTAATTAGTGCCTTTTAATTATTATAATATAACAATATCAAATCTTATTGAACCGTGAGAGCTTAAACTAAATTATAATATAAATTATAAATATAATATGAGTCTTATAGAGTATCAGTTCCGGAGGGTCAATAATATTAAAATCATAAAATTAATGTTTTTTTGCCATTACGTTTATGTCTCTAATAACAAAATTTATACGTATGTTTTTAAAAAATCTTCATTCATAAAAAAAAAACTTGAATAGATTTTGTATATTAATTTAGGAAATCGATAAGGGGTACAAGATCAAGTATTATACGTGTCGTCGGTTTTATTTAAAAATTCAACATGTCGTCGAATTTTCCGTTAAAATTCGTACATAGCCGCAATCGCAGTAGATTACATTTAAGACTACGTGATAAATACTGGTCGTGAAACCTCGTCTCGATTAATAAGAATTAGCTCCTTACTTTCGGTGTATAATACGATAATAAATAAGATATAAAAACACGTACGTGTAAAAGAACCTCACCAATAGAGGGAGCGCCTTTTCACTTATATAATTAAGTCGAAATGGTGTTAGCGAAACGTGCAAAAATGTACAAAATTTACGAAGATACAAGATGATTGTTGCTACGTTTTTTCGACTCGATTCTTATCGACTATTATTCTCCGGATTCACTTTAATGGTGACTTTGTTGCTGAGAGCGGAAGCAAGCTTCTCGATGTTGCTTTGAAGAAGCTTGTTCGGCTCTGGATTCGTTGTTTCGTTGCTGGATGTCGCCATGTTCTCGTGAATAGTTTTCACAGGCGACTGATTTTCCTAAAATGCAAAAACAAGTTTACATTTTTTTTCAGAACGTCGTGTTTTCTTTGAAAAAAATTACAATATAAAACGCTATATAAAAATCACAATAAAATAATTCAATAAATTCCAAAAATATTGAAGAAAAAATATGCAGTCGAAGTACAATATTTATAACGATCAGATTTAATTTCTTCCATTGATTTTTTACATTTTTTTTACACTCAGAGAAAAACATAATAATAAACTACATAAAAGTGATAATTAAAAAAGTTTTGAGATATAGAATTAATGTACATAGTTGAATATACATTTTATAGTATTTATTATATTCGACTATGTGTGTACATTCATTCTATGTAAAAAAAACTTATCACTTTTATAGTTGCCATCATTTTATATGTTTTTCTCTGAGTGTATGACTAATCTTTATTCTACGATAATTCATGTTTTTGTTTTACTGGTATCGCTTACAACTTCAGTCTTTCTTCTGAGGTTTGACCTCTGCAGGGTCGCGGCAAGCTCGTTTTGCAGCCTAGAAACGACAGGGCTATTGTCCGACTCGTCAACACCGTTTTTGTCGCGACTCGGCTGTTGCGGCAAGAATTCCAACCTAGATGGCTGTTTTGTCTCACCCTCGTACGACCCTATTCTGATGGCTACTTTGCCGCTGGGTAGCTTTGAAGACTGAGCGCCGTTGGTCGGTGAGACTGGTGCAGTCGAGTTTTTCGTGAGTTCCGCAACGGGGCTCGTCGCGGCGTCTTTGGGAACCTTGCTTGCAGTACTAACGTGTCGCGGACTATTGCTCGTCGAAGAAGGGCTTGTCACTGGAAAGTATGTTGGCGGTGGTTTGGGCACTGTACTGGGCGTTTCTTTCAATTTGAACGATTCAATGCTTTGCATCTCTACCGAATCGTCGCTATTCTGATTTTTAGAAGGAAGTGGAAGCGGAAGCGGAGGCGCTGGCGGTGGGACCGGAGGACCTGCTGTTGTCGGCGCCGACATCGTTGCCTCATTGAGCATCCTCTTCTGCTGTTCCTGAGAATGCAACAAAACACGACATATATCATTCTAATAAAAAATTTGTAGTTTGGATGCATAAACATATATATGTGTGCGTATGTGTGGTGTGTGAAATTTTTAGAATTATAACACTTTATGCAAAAATAAAATTAGATATTAAAAGGATTTAGGGCACTCAAAAATATCATTCTATTGCCAAGAAACATTACGTAGAATCCGTTTACTCTTTTTCTTTTAAATAAAGATTATCTTTAATAAAGAATATTTTTTTCCTTGATGGTAGTCTTAAAATTACATATTACAAATTATTTATTACAAATAGGAAAATTTATTATCCTGTGTACTTAAAACATAAATTAATTTTCTTTTGAAAATTATAAGATTTAATATTGTAAATTAATTTTCTTTTAAAGAATAAAATTTTATCAAAGAAGTGACTTTATATGATAAACAAATCAAAATTTTAATTTAATGATCTTGATTGAAATATTGAATTTACTAAGATTCAGAGTACATTTTGAATAAATTTGTGACAAACTTATAATATTTAGATTATAATATGTAGATTTGCGAATATTAACTTTTAAAATACTTGAAATACGTAACTAATATTTAAATACAATATGCTTTCCTGTGTGCACACATTACGCATATTTTATTAATTTAAAAAACTACGATTTAAGATTGGTAATATATATGTACACTCTAGAATACATTGAATTTTTTCAAAATGTGTTTCTTAATCTGTCGATACAAAAATATTTAATAAGTTTAACAAATTAATAAATTGTCCTTGGACACACGTGCTAAAGTTATAAATTGAATTGCGAATTAATACTAATTGCACATTTACGCTAATTGTTTTGTATATAATTACTAACATTATAAGGAGTGATAGTGACCAGCGTTTGTTTCCTTATTGTGTCAGTTGTATTGTTTGCCTTCAAGTTTTTATCCATATTTAATTCTGAATATTTCTAATAATAGTAATAATGTGTGACACAAGAAATTTAATATGTCATGTATTCCACACTCTCCACGTTTTCCGTGAGCTAATCCTTTTTACTTGCACTTTTTATATTTAACGCACGTCATACATACATTGAACAGTCATCTATATTAACTTCTATTAAATTTCACATATACGGAACAGACTATGTTTCAAATATGTATATAGATTACATATTAAAACAATCTTATTTATGGCAGTGTTCGTTGAACTTATTTTTCTTAAAGCTTAAAGTTATCAATTTTTTCATAAAATTTCCTTCAGCTTTTCGGAGAATCAATTAAATGAAATCAGTCGTTGATAGAAATATCTCTTTTACGTGTTGATGTTTCAACAAATATTCTCTTCTCTTTTCGTCACAAAACGTTCTTCTCTATTCCGCTATTTTCTTCGAATCACGATCGAACGGCAATCACGTGTTTTGTGGTATTTATTTCGCAGACCGCCGATCGCACGACGCAACGACGAGCAACTGAAAGAACGCAAGAAGAGCGCACGTTACGTCGCCTTACGCCGGTGTTCTTATGTAAGCCCTATTATTTTGCACATCCGCCACAATTCGTAGGAAACTGCAGTGTACGAGGCTATGAGGAAAAAATGTGGCACAAGACCTCGCGTTGACGCGACGCGGCGTGTCGCGTTGCAACTCGCCCGGTATCGGATACCTCGCGAACGACGTGACGGTGTTACGATCACCGTCGCTGGTCTTGCGACGAATGAATCCGCGAACGTCTCGATAACGATGATTAATGGACGATAAGGCGGTAACATAAGCTGTCAATCGGCCTTCTCGCTTGTGTAACAGTCACCTGGTCGCGGGAAAAAGTAAAACAGTGATTTACTAACGATAACACGCTCAACTATTCGAAGAAAATAATATCCAGATTTCTCTTCGATAAATGAGAAATCAGAGAAATATATCCGCGCACAAAATCACTTTGTTGCGGTATACTCCGATGTAGAGATACACGTTCTAATTTAGAGAGACAGTCGTTCCCGTTATTCCTATTATCCCGGCAATCTGAATAAACTCGAGATACCGCTTGGTTTTGAATATATAGCTTTCGAATAATTATTAGCAATTAATTTTCGTAGCAGGTTTATTATTATTATTTCGTTGATTAAATTGCCATAAATATTTCTGTGTCAAGAACGATGTCAAAATGATCGCAATATGCGCGGTCTCGAGCAGTTAACATAATTAATTTACGTATAAACTACTTCCGCGATCAAACGCGGTCTATTTACGATATCGCTTATAATACATTTTCCTTGCCGCGTGGTAATGCAAGAACTGAAACAAAACGTTGGAACATACGTGACTTTAAGGTGTGCAAACTGCTCGCTATCTCTCGACGTTTCAACAATACTACCGAGCAGCCAATGTGTGCCCAACAGGTATACACAAGTAAATGTGTGGCGCGTCAGCAACGCATGTACGCACGCACACGTGCACGACGATTACGTAGTCTGCACGCCACACCGACGACTATTCCGGAGTCTTCATAATTTTGTGCTCTTATCTGTTTGCACTAGCGGATCGTTGCTTAGCGGTTGTGTAATTAAAAACTCGCTACATGAGCAGCCAGTTAGCTACGCCTCGAAAATATCCACAAGAAAAAGAACATACGGGTCGAAAAACCTCGTATCTTCGCCATCTATTCACTTCGACATCTCGTTAAAGCGAAATTAACTTGATATATGATAGAAACGGCTATTGTTTTCGAACGCGTTATATATCATGCTTTCACACAATCGTTAATTTTATGTTGTTAATTACGATCACCTTCCAGAGAATTATCGTAATTGATATCAGTGAAACTTGCATTAT